TCAGGTATTTATGTGTGGGCATGTGCATGTTGGATTTTGCATTGGACATTTTAGTGTTTCTGAATGCTTAATGGATGTTTGCATTACAGGCAGGAGCCCAAAGCTAAGGCTATCACTAAAACTAGCGCTAAGCCTAAACCGGGCAAATCAGCTGCAGCTAAGAGGTAACCTTGGTAAAAAAGAGAAAACACACATTGCCTTCTTGGCTCAGACCTTTCTAACCTTCTCAGACAGTAAACAGTGTACATGTGTGTTTGTGTGCTTGACCCCATTTCACTGTTTTCAACAGGCATCTCAGAAAGAGATCTGCTGAGCCAAAAGCTAAAGTTAAAGTAACAACTGCCAGGTACCATCTGAGGGAATGAAACCAGTAGTGTTCTTTCCCTAGAGGTCTCAAGCGCATAGCGTGGCTTTAGTACACAACACTAATAGTGTTAGTCAACTAACTTCACTTTCCAAGCTTTAGTCAGTTATCCTTTTTGTGTGTGTGTGTGTGTGTGTGAGTGTGTCTGTCTGAAAGAGTGGTGGACGAAACATTTCCCCATGAAGAACTTATTACCATCTGTTAGTTTTACTTGCATAGTTTTGAGATGAGGCTGTGCTTGTGCAAGAATTGAAGCTTTCTGAGGGAGATATCTTGATGCCCTCATACTAACACAAATCCCTCCTTGTGCTTACTGCATGTTCACTTCAGATATGTGTGCTTGTGCTTCTAATGTGCTAGTTTCAATGGATATAACAGGCATGGGAAAGTGAAATCACCACTAACATTTGTACTTTTTAATTTGTGTGTGTGTGTGTGTGTGAGTGTGTCTGTCTGAAAGAGTGGTGGACGAAACATTTCCCCATGAAGAACTTATTACCATCTGTTAGTTTTACTCGCATAGTTTTGAGATGAGGCTTTGCTTGTGCAAGAGTTGAAGCTTTCTGAGGGAGATATCTTGATGCCCTCATACTAACACAAATCCCTCCTTGTGCTTACTGCATGTTCACCTCAGATATGTGTGCTTCTAATGTGCTGGTTTCAATGTATATAACAGGCATGGGAAAGTCAAATCACCACTAACATTTTTTTTTTAAAATTGATGTGGTATTTTGTAGTTCTCATCCCAAAGTTTCTGTTACTGACACTTACAGTAATTATTATTATATATCAAATAATTATTCATTTAGTTAGGTTGTGTCTCACAGCATCTTAACAGTTAGACTTAGACGTTATTGTCCTCTTTCCCATGCAGCTGGTATGTATGTGTGTGCATGTGCATGTTGGATGTTGCATTGGACATTTGAGTGTTTCTGAATGCTTAATGGATGTTTGCATTACAGGCAGGAGCCCAAAGCTAAGGCTATCACTAAAACTAGCACTAAGCCTAAACCGGGCAAATCAGCTGCAGCTAAAAGGTAACCTTGGTAAAAAAGAGGAAACATACATTGCCTTCTTGGCTCAGACCTTTCTAACCTTCTCATTTGTTCTCTAAATCTAAATGTCGTCAGTCAGAAAAGCTGCATTACAGGTGATTCTGGGGCCTAGACAAAACCTATAGATTATAGAAATCGGTTAAAAGACAAAGAAGCTTACCAATTCAAAAGTTTGGGGTCAGTATGATTTCTTTTTTTATTATTATTTTTTTTTTGGGAAAGAAATTAATACTTTTATTCAGCGAGGACACATTAAATGGATAACTTACAAAGATATATATTTTAAATACATTTTAAATAAAAACAAATATTCCTTTGTCATCACAGGAATAAATTACATTCAGTCATTTAGCAGACGCTTTTATCCAAAGCGACAAAATTATATATTTTATTTAATATAATATTTTAAAATAGAAAATAGTATGATGATTTTAATAATTTTAAATTGTAATAATATTTCACAATATTACTGTTTTTTATCAAGTAAATGCAGCTCTCATAAGCATAAAAGACTTTTAAAACTTTAAAAAATCGTACCGACCCCCAAACTTTGAATGGTAGTGTACAGTATGCAATTTTGTTGTCCTGTTGTGTGTCTTTGTTAAGGACATGAATGAGAATGAATGAGTTTATTAAATTACAAAATTAATATTATTCCGCTAGCATCTCCAATAGTTCCTCAAAACCAGAGGAAACCAGTGTGTATACAAGAATATTGCAATAGCTGTTGAGCATGTAAATATCTTTCTCAGAATGAAGGCTTGACTTGAGCATGGACCTTAATATGAAAAGGATGTGGATGTAAACATGGTCAGTGTCTCTTTCATTTCTCCTCTCACAGCTCTCATAAGCATAAAAGACTTTTAAAACTTTAAAAAATCGTACCGACCCCCAAACTTTGAATGGTAGTGTACAGTATGCAATTTTGTTGTCCTGTTGTGTGTCTTTGTTAAGGACATGAATGAGAATGAATGAGTTTATTAAATTACAAAATTAATATTATTCCGCTAGCATCTCCAATAGTTCCTCAAAACCAGAGGAAACCAGTGTGTATACAAGAATATTGCAATAGCTGTTGAGCATGTAAATATCTTTCTCAGAATGAAGGCTTGACCTGAGTATGGACCTTAATATGAAAAGGATGTGGATGTAAACATGGTCAGTGTCTCTTTCATTTCTCCTCTCACAGGCTGTATGCTGAACGGCAGAAGAATCACTTCCTGGTTCATTCAGTGGCATGCTTAGGCACAGAAGTGCACTTGGCTGCGTGTCCTCTAGAGTTTAACTATGGCAATGCCACAGAGTCGTGTCCTGGAGGAATGCCTGCTGTGGTCAGCTGTGTGCCTGGTCCACTGTACGCACAGAGCACTGCTATGAGGAAGAAACTCAAGATGCAGGTATATAGTATGTAGGTAACTTGTGTAAGTTTATGTATAAGTTTATGTACTTGTATTAACTGTTTCTTCCTCTCTTTGTTTCTCATCAGTCTACTGTACGGCTGAAGGGTGGAGCAAAATATGGTGAGGGCCGTGTCGAGGTTTTGAAGGGCAGTGAATGGGGGACGATTTGTGATGATCGCTGGAACCTGCTCTCTGCCAGTGTTGTATGCAGAGAACTGGGCTTCGGCTCTGCCAAAGAAGCCCTCACAGGTGCCCGCATGGGACAAGGTGAGATTGCAAAAGAGAGACAAAACAAATTAGGGGATAGATGGATGGATGTAATGGAAAAATACAGAATTTTAAGAGAAAGTATAATTGCCCTCATTTATTGCCCAGATTTTTGCCCCAATTTGCAGATTGGAGTCAATGCTAGTTGCTGAAAGTTATAGCCAGTCTGCAGATTTTAGGAAGTCAGATTTCACAAAAAATCACATACTGTATGATGGGCACATACTTTTTAGCTTCAGACTAAGGTTCTTTGGATTGGATTGGATATACTTTATTATACCTGTTAGGAAAATTTGTCTTGGACACACAGCTGGCAAACACAAAAAACACATACAGTACAGACATACAACATCATAAGAAAAAAAGAATAATTCCGTTAAAATGCACAGTTCAAGAAAGGGAGGATATCCAGTCAGAGGATTTCAAACGTGTTTGATATTTTGAGCCAATTTTAGAACACATTGTTTTTTATGTGTCATGCATCTGCTAGCAATAAAGCGCATATTTATGTGAGTTTGTTGTGTTCGGAACGACTTGAAAGTCTGGTGAAAGTGTGTGATCCTTTGAAAAGTCATGTAGTGTATTCCAGTACAGTGGCACCAAAAGTATTTCAATACGCTTGAAAAAGTACAATTTAAAGGATAGTTCACGCACAAATGAATATTTAGTCATAATTTACTCACCCTCGTGTCGTTTCAAACTTGTATGACTTTCTTTCTACTATAGAACAGAAAAAAAGATATTTTGAAGAATGATGGTAACCAATCAGTTTGAGTTTTCATTGACTTCCATTGTCAATTTTTTGTCCGGTAAAAGTCAATGGGAACCGAAACTGTGTGGTAGTTTTTAGGGCTAATGTCTTTGTATGAATAAGGTTGTTAGTTGGACACTTTTATGTATTTTTAGCTGTGCCAGTATGGATTTTGCTTCTGTGTTTTGTCTCAGGGTTGGGGCCTATCTATATGAATGAGGTGCAGTGCACAGGTCATGAGCGCTCTCTGTGGAACTGCCGCTATAAAAACATCACTACTGAGGACTGCAAACACACTGAAGACGCTTCACTCCGCTGTAATGTCCCATATATGGGCTATGAGAAGACGGTCAGAGCAACACACACATATTCACACTCATAACATTTCTTTTTATGTGTTGATTTTATGTTACTTAACACATAGGTAATTTATATGTCTTTCAGTGTTTTCAGTGACTCGATATGACATTCATTTGCATATATTGCTTGTTTCTCAATTCAAGGAGAACATAGCAATGATCAAATTAATTACATTTGCATTATTTAGCAGACGCTTTTATCCAAAGCTACTTACAGTTGAGGAATATATTCAATTACAACTGAATGAATGATGTTGTGCTCTGTATTCATTTTGACTGAAAATGGATGACTGGAAATATTGGGTATCATTGTCTGTATCAAGAGACAATTACTGGAATTAATTAATCATCTGTTGTGATTTATTATGATTGATCTCAACAGATGTAACATACTTTAAGCATTATGCACCTACTGCAGGAAAACTTATATGCATGTAGAAGACACCGGGGCTAGTTGTCACACACTCTCATGAAAGAATCCTGAAAAAATGTATTATGGTGTCCACAAATATATGAAGCAGCACAAATGTTTACAACATTAATAATAATAAATGTTTCTTGAGCACCAAATCAGCATATTAAATGATTTCTGAAAGATCACGAATAGGAATAAATAATATTTTTCAATATATTCAAATAGAAAACTGTTATTTTAAATCATAATAGTATTTCACAGTATTACTTTTTACTGTATTTTTCATCAAATAAATGCAGCCTGTGTGAGCCTAAGATACTTTCTATCAAAAATATTTAAAAATCCTTCTGACCCCAAGCTTTTGAACAGTAGTGTATATTCAAACAAGTTAGATTTTAACTCAAAAGTTGAACTGTTCTCAGTACAAGAATAGTTTTCATAAATTTCAGGTCAGGGCAAGAGTTGTAAAAGTTAAAATTTTCTACATATTTCTATTTTTGTTGCCCAAAACAATGGTAAGGTAGTTTTATTGGTTACCATTAACATTATAGCAGTTTCATAATTATTTTACTGCTTAAATTTACCCCACAAAATGTGACAACCCTACTATGTATCTTTCCTTTCTTTGACAGTTTTTTTGTAGCCAAAACTGACTTTTGAAATAAATGAACAAAAAACACCTCAAGAAACATTATTTAGAGTAAGAATTGTGACAATTAGCCCCGGTCTCCCATATAATCCAGTTGAACTCCCTCTTACCCCTCATCCCTGGTTGTGCCCTGCTCAGGTGCGCATCTTAGGGGGGCGATCTCGCTACGAGGGCCGTGTGGAGGTGTTACGTACTGAGACTAACGGGACGCTGCGCTGGGGTCTGATCTGTGGAGAAGGCTGGGGAACTGAGGAGGCCATGGTTGTGTGCAGGCAGCTGGGCCTCGGGTACGCCAACCATGGCCTACAAGTAGGATTCTAACAGTAACAGCAACACACACTTGCATGCTAACAATGCCTTGAACTTTCTGCTACCATCGAAAAAATCAGATGGTGCTGGCTTACCCACTCCCACATACATATTCAAAGCCTTGAACTTTGAAAACGCACCACATGAGTCAGTGCATGTAGTACAGGGATGGACAGAAATAAACCGCTGAAACATCAGTCAGCTCAAGTTTTGCTACTGAACAGCTTCGTTATACTACAGTAGCTAGACCAGCACCAAACTAGTACTAGTTTTTGCTTTTATAAATTCTGTAGAATCAAACCCATGGAATTTCGGGTCAAATCTGATCGTGTGCATTTTATAAACGAGGCTCCTGGTCTCCTTAGCAGGGTCGTCTTTCTGTGTATGTGGGTAAGCAGCGAATGGCAGGAGACAGATGGGTGAGCGGGGTAAGATGTGAGTGTGTTTGACGTGGCGTAGGTTGTGATTTCAGGTGCGTCTGTCAGGTGGGCGCTCACAGTATGAAGGGCGAGTGGAGGTGCGGGTGGGGCAGCGGTGGGGCAGTGTATGCAGTGAGGGCTCGACCACCAAAGAGGCCATGGTGGCATGCAGGCAGCTAGGGCTAGGGTTCAGCATGCATGCTATTACAGTGAGTACATGACATACACACATGCTCGCGGTCGCGGACGCAGCTCTATTCTTTCACCAGGAATGTTGTTTTTTAGGCAACGTGAATGTTTAGGAATATGATATTTCTTGTAAAATAGTTTTTTATTTTTTCAGGAGTGAGCACTTTTGTGGTAACTATATACACTATCAAACAGCCATTTGGTTGCTTTACCCTTTTTTTTATCAATAATAGTTATATTTGATATATACTGTATGTATGGATGGATGGATATTTAAACATATAGATATGCACTATATATAATGTTTTTATATTTAATTTATTTTTTGGGTGAAGTGTGACTTGTGAAAGAAATTCATATATGTGAAAGATATTCATATGTTTTCTCCCCAAATTCTCATTACCGTATGCAAAAATAAATAAATAATCACATAAATACATAAAAAAAAACCTAGTATCATTTCTTTTCTTATTTTCTTTTACTTTTTTATTTTGGGGTGAAGTGTGGCCTGGTAATGTTTTACCCCAAAATAAATAAATTATAGGATTATAATTTTTACGACCAAGTTTTTTGCATTGTGACAATATTTTCATGGCAATTGATATGGTTTCATTCTCTTCATAGTAAACTACTTATCACTGTCTGTCTGTCTGTGTTTGTTTGTTTTGCGTGTTTGCTAAGGAAACATGGTATTGGGACAGCAGTAACGTGACAGAGATGGTTATGAGTGGAGTGAAATGTACAGGAGATGAGATGTCTCTCAGCCAGTGCCAACACCACAGAACCGTCAACTGCCAGAAAGCAGCCGCACGATTCTCAGCAGGAGTCATCTGCTCAGAAAGTGAGTAACCTTACTCATATGCACACACAGATACAAAGAATACATAGAATTTGATTGGCTGATATTAAGCTGGTATTTAGTCCAGCAGCACTAGGACTTTTCACTGATTGTAGCACTTTGCCTGTGTTTGTGCGTTTCAGATAGATTGTCAGTCTTTGTATTAGTGGTGAGGATTTTTCAGTGACTTTTGCAGGTTATGTTTATACAAGTGACTATCTTTATAAGTGTCACTGAATCATTTATTCAACTGATTTGGTTAACAACACTGATTCATTCAGGAATGAACTCTCTGAAGTGACTCTGCATCTGAATATGCCTACTAACCTATAGTAGATGAAAAACAGTATGTGAAAAGAGTAGTTGTGTCCAAATTCATAGTATTAAAAAAGCAGTAGGAGAACAATACCTGTATGACGTACTACTTCTGGCGAGATCCAATGGACACATTACAATCCCATAAGACTAGGGGAGTAAATCTTGTCATGTTGTCATTTGGGTTTCATTCATAATATCGACATATAAAACATACTTCTTAAAAGATTTCAAAGTAGGTTCTTCGGCAAATGTAGTACCTGCTCAGACAGTACTGTCTTTATAAGTGAGTCACTGAAACATTCACTCAACTGATTTGTTTAAAAACCCTCATTTTACTCAAGAAACACCACTACTGTGTTGTGCTCAGAAATGAACATTAATACTGTTTTGGCTTTGTTTGGAACCATTTTTGTTAGCTCTGGAAAAAAATAGCGAAAAGTTGTGTCCCAAATGATGCCCTATACACTAGGCACATATACTATACAATATATACTCTACCCTCTGTTGTATGACACGTCTACACTTTTTTTCTGTTAACCAAGTGTGTCATCCAAGCACTTGCAGTTTTTCTTTTTGGAATTTTCAGTGTGAACACACTACTCACACTATTTATGCTAAAATGGCATAGAATAGTGCATAAGTATGTGAATTGGGACGCAGCTAAAGTAATTGGCAATATTGTGTTTAAAATGTAGGTCACTCAGTATTAACTTGTTTATAGAACTACTGTATATAAGCAATATCATACTCAGAATCTAGTACATAGTCTAGTGTATTCAGTCAAAACACAGGGCTTGAATTTCGGCGCGGGATTGCGCATCATTTTACTGATCCCTGCAGTTTCCGCGCTTGAAACGCGGGAAATTCCCGCAAATATTTCAGCGTGAAAGATGCTCAGACAGATGACGGAATGTATCATTTGCACGTGCTTTTGAGTCTTACAATTTTAAACATTCAAGTGCTCAATTCAGTACTTGCTCCCTCTCTGTGAGACCCCTTTCTGTGAGCTCACACCCAAAGCGCGCGCACATAGAGCCACATCTGACTGCAGAATTAAGTTGTGTTGCTCCTTATTGCGCGTAAACTGCTAAATACATACAAAATTGTCAAAATGCCCGTCTTGATGAGTATTCACGTAAACAGTCTATTTATACTAAACATTGTCGGTATATAGGCTATTAAGTGAATGTAAACAGTTGAGAAACAACTTATGTGTAACAGTATATGTTAGATCCGTGCATGAGGTCTTAAAGGGACAGCAACCTAAATAAACCTGCTGCTGTCTGTGTCATTAATGTTTATTTATACATTGAAGACTAACCAGTGTTATTTTAAAGTTAAATAGATTATTCTGTTTCTGTGGTATTTCTGTACCTGAATATTACTGTTAAACCTACCTGATAAACTTAAAGCACAGTTCATTTCAGTTAATCTTGTTATTGTATTTGTTTTTGCCATTGCTTGTCATTAATCAATTCTTCCCCCCATAAGAGCCACCCCCCAATTTTCCAAAACGAAATTCAGGCCCTGAAACAGTATAAGAGTCAAAACTGACTGTTTTGCAAAAGTTATTCATAATATTTTTATGATGACTGGAATTCGCACCTCAGACGGTCAGTCTGCTGCTGATGGTAGATCTAAAGCTGTGGTCAGTCTGCTGTTTATCTTTTTCTGAGAACTGGCCTGTAATTAGTGAACCTCACATGGCAACGGCTTGACTTCAAATGACTTACACCTGTCTGGATTATGTATACAAATGAGACAACATATCATTTTCTCAACTGTTGTACGTTGAGCAAAACTGTTTGTTCAGACATTAAAACCTCAGACATCCAGTTCAGTGACCAACATGCAATGTCAAAATAGAAACAAAAATATAAATCAAATTCCAGGGCCAAGGCTATATTTTTTCTTTGAACTTTCATTTGGCATCTTAATATGTACATTTTTCTTCCCCCAGCTGCATCTGATCTAGTGCTGAATGCACCGCTAGTGCAGCAGACGACGTATATAGAGGACCGGCCGTTACACATGCTGTACTGTGCAGCAGAGGAGGACTGTCTGTCCAAGAGCGCCGCTAAAGCTAACTGGCCTTACGGTCACCGCCGCCTGCTCCGCTTCTCCTCACAGATACACAACATCGGACGGGCTGACTTCAGGCCCAAAGCAGGCCGTCACTCATGGGTCTGGCACGCATGTCACGGGTAACCATACTGTTATTAAAATCATTTTTTATTCCTGTAGTGTTGAAAATCTGGGTACACTTTTTGTGTTGCTGGTCAAATTGACCCCACTGGTTTTCATGAAGTTCACCAAAAATCAAAACTAAGAAAAAAACCAAAGATTAATGTAAAAATCGGAAAACCTCTATTGTAGCTTGTCAGAGACTAAAAAAATATAAAATATAAGAAAATATGAACTCCTATTGTGTTACAAAAATAGTTCCTACCTTTGTTTTAGAGGCCAGTTTCCCCTACGAAAATGAACCATGGTTTTACCACAAATAAAACCAAAAAAACATGGTTACTATAGTTAAACCATGGTAAGCACAAATTAACCATAGTTGTATAACCATAGTATTTGTAGTAAAAAAAAAAAAAAAACATGGTTACCACTTTACTACAATACATGAATTGGAGTTATTGAATGCAAATTAAATGAGCTGTCTGATTAATAATTCGCTTTTTGTGAGTGTCTTCAAACATATGAGGAGGTAGTAAAAAAAAAAAAAAAAACATGGTTACACTTTTACTACAATACAATCATGGTTAATTTTCATAAGGGTTGACTCAAAATTGTGTCTCTTTTTTGCCTGACTCTTTTGCTTTCAGTGTTGATTTTTTGTGACTTGCATGGAAACCAATTGGGAGTAATCTTTACTCCTACACAATCAATGTAACCACTGTAAATTTGTATAGTCTTTCCAAAACATGTCTACGTGTTGAAAATTTGCATGCACATTCATGACCCTAAATGAGAAAAAAATCACTAAATCAATTTCAAGAAGATAAATTGTAAATTAACACAATAAATTGTTCAACCAGAATTTCAAGCGGTTTAAAAATCGAATGTGGGTCAAATGGGACCTTAACATAACCTTATTATTTCTGACCAGTTTTTAGACAAGCAGATGATTTATGTGTGTGTGATTCCACAGGCATTATCATAGCATGGACATCTTCACACACTATGACCTGATGTCTGCCAATGGCACTAAAGTGGCAGAAGGACACAAAGCCAGCTTCTGCCTGGAGGACACAGATTGTGATGAAGGTAAATCACTCATCCAAATACACATTTACAGTCAGCTCTGTTCAGTAGGACATATTTTCACTTGTGTAAATATCTGTGTTTATTCTAGGTGTTTCCAAGAGATATGAGTGTGCTAACTTTGGTGAGCAGGGCATCACAGTGGGATGCTGGGATTTGTATCGCCATGACATTGATTGCCAGTGGATCGATATTACTGATGTCAAACCAGGAAATTATATCCTTCAGGTCCGAGAATGGGTGCAGACCATTGTCCCCAGTCACCAAAAACATGTATTCTATTGATTTAAGAGGATTTAGACTTGTTTTTGCTTCTTTTCCAGGTTGTGATAAATCCTAACTATGAGGTTGCCGAGAGTGACTTCACAAACAATGCCATGAAATGTAACTGCAAATATGATGGCCACAGGATCTGGGTCCATAACTGCCATATTGGTGAGACATGAATACAAAGCCTTAAAGAAATAGTTAACCCAAAAAGGAAAATTTCCTGAACCCTCAGGCCTTCCAAGATGTAGAAATGTGTTATTACATCACTTACTCACCAGTCCACTGCAGTGAATGGGTGCCGTCAAAATGAGAGCCCAAACAGCTGATAAAAACATCACAATAATCCACATGACTCCAGTCATTGAATTGAAAAGCCACTTTTTAGTAATAAACAAATTCATCAAGTCGTTTTAAACTTCAAAACATTGCTTCCAGCTAAAATACTGAGTCCTCTGTGCATAATACTGCTTTCTCCAGTGAAAAAGTTGTCTCTTCTGAATCAGGAGAGAACATATGCACAGATCAAGTACCATTTACAAGCGAAAACAGACCAAAACTGTTCTAAACAAATATGTCGGTGAATTTTGATGTGAGATGACAACAGGGAATGGACTTTTCCCCCTGGAGAACATGTCATTATGTATCATGGACTTCAGAATCAATGGTTTAAAATTAAAATGCCTTAATGATGGATTTGTTTCTTACAAACGTGCAACCTTTTAATTCACAAGACATTAATTGATTGACTGGAGTCGTGTGGATTATTGTGATGTTTTTATCAGCTGTTTGGACTCTCGTTCTGACGGCACCCATTCACTGCAGAGGATCCATTGGTGAGCAAGTGATGTAATGCTACATTACTCTAAATCTGTTCTGATATAGAAATAAACTCATCTACATCTTGGATGGCCTGAGGGTGAATACATTTTCAGTAAGTGTTCATTTTTGGGTGAACAATTTGTGAAAATATGTTCAGAATGGAATACGTTCTGTAAGAAAACAGAATTATGCAACCATAAACAGTAGTAAGTTACATTCTAGTCACATGATCTGACATGATGCAGGGACATTGCATGCTGCAATTAAATAAATCATCTTGGAATTAAAAACTCATTTTATGGTTAATCCTGTTTTTCCACAAACTTTCTTGGCAGTCTGATCAAATAATGATTCAAGAAAAAAGATGATATTAGCTGATATTAATTCCAGTTCATTTAAGTGTTTACTATACTCTGTTAAATAGTAAATAATCCAGGTAGTAAATAATTCTGTGCATACAGAAAAAAATAAAATTTTATGCACAATTTACATATTATATACTGCAGAAATAGTAAGAGTGCATTAGGGTAGTTCTTCCATTCAATGCCAAATACTGAAAGATTTATTTGCTGTTGTCTTTATTTCAGGTGATGCTTTCAGTGAGGAGGCTGAGAAGAAGTTTGAGAAATACCCTGGACAATTTAACAACCAGATCTCATAATCTTATCACCAGATTGATATAATTAGCAAATTGGGACAATCTAATCCAGAGTAAAATATTTATTCATTCAAACCAGCCATAAACTAAGTAACTTCTCACATTGCAATTACAGAAACCCTAAAATCTACAATATCCAATGTTTTTACGCCAAGAGTATAACTGTACTGACATAACCTGTAATTTTTAATGAAAACAGAACTCCAAAAAAAAAAAAACACTCAGAGCTACTGAGTCTGGCTTAAGTAGTGTGAGGATTAGATGTAAATTTGTCAGGCTGTGCAGTGCCTGTCGTATGTGTTTACAGTGCAATCAGGTGCTTATTTTCTTAAAGGTTTAAAAAGCCTTGTCGATGCATCACGCAGCCCGTGTGCTGCTGTCTCTGTGAGTTAAAAGTACTTGAATGTTTTGTACTCCAGATGAGCATTCGTGTTTAAAAGCTATTGCAAAGTGTGAATGTATTTTATGCTTCAAAGCTCTGACTCAACTCCTATTTTACTTTCAAATGGTCTTTCATGTATGACTTGTTAAAGCTTCAGTGACGTTTTTTACACGCTGTCCTAGATTTGTCTTTTTACTGAACTGGTTATGCATTCGTGTGTTCAGTTACAGTAAAATGATCATTTCATGTGAAACTCTGTTAAAGATGAAAATAAAGTGTTATTTAAAGTTGTAATACAAATCATTTCAAGTATTTCAAGTTTCATGACCCATTAAACAAATAAATGGGTCATAATAAATTATCAGTCATGACTCGTTATATTACAAAGGCCTCTGCTTAACACTCATAAAGATGGAAATCTGGAGAAGCCAAAACAGCTATACAGTGCCTTTTAAATATTTTTGTCTCAATCTTATTTTGTTCCACTAATGCATAGCAACCACCCAGAACACCCTAGCAACTGCATAGCAAACTGAATTATTTGACAATTCAAACATATTGTTCGTCACTCGTGTGAACAAGTAATGATTTGCATCCAATTTTGGGCTTTTGTCGGCGATCTTCGACTGTTGGCGAGCGCTAAATCAGGGCTAAATGAGTATAATGTGTGGTTGTTGCTGGTAGCCATTGACTTCCATAGTATGGAAAAAAAATCCTATGGAAGTCAAAGGCTACTGGCAACTGTTTGGTAACCAACATTCTTCAAAATATATTATTTTTTGTTCAACAGAAGAAAGAAACTCTTTACAGGTTTGGAACAACTTGACGGGAGTAAATGATGGCAACATTTTCATATTTGGGTGAGCTATCCCTTTAAATATCTAGACTTGTTTGTGATCCAAGTCCTGTAGGCTACAGTGTGAAATGTGTTTTGACCGGAACGGACATCACTTATGACAGACAGTTGTGTAACGTGAAAAGAACAGCAATCAGACGACTTCTGGAAAAATCATGTAGTCTAGTATGTGGGCGGATTAACAAAATGATATTCATTTTTAAGATTAAAGTGTACTTGGTCACGTTTTCTGAAAGCACTGTGATTATATAACGATGATCCAAAAATGTTGATATTCCAATGTTTTATTGTGAAGTCACAGCTGTTTTAAAAATGTTTTAAAATACATTGAATACAAAAAAAATCTGCAATGTTGGAATAACAGCACCCACTTTTATTATGGTAGCCAAATGTTCATTCATCTCAAGACAAACTGTGTTTAACTCAAATATTTAGTGGTATTCCTTCAAAAACAATACTGATACAGTGTAGTTTGAGAGGACACACTGACAATTATCCAGTGTAATGCTCAAAATCATCCACACTAATTCACACACTTCCACAAAAAAAAAAGGGCACAAACTGCACAATTAAAACATTTCGACTACATGAGTGTCCAGCCTTCATACTATACTGTTCAGCCCTTTACATGATTACCTTCTTAAACATCTCCAACTATAATAATTTCTCACATTCATTCTCAAATCATCTCTCGCTTCTCATTTCTCACTCATCCAAACCATTTCTTACTCTGTTACTTATATGCTTAAGCTTCACGTGACGTCACTCCGTGTATTCAGGGGTCATATGCACCATGAGGAGGTCGGCCCCCCGCCGGACCACCACGTTTAAGCTGTCGCTTGTTCTCACAGCGTTATAGATCTCCTCTGACGTGTTCACCTTTGACCTGTTTATCTCAACAATAACATCCCCTGGTTTCATTCCAGCTCTGTGAAACAGATAACAGGAAATTACATCAACAATAGGAGGCCTCTATCAACAAACCACAGCACTGTGGGGTCAGAGCAGTGCTGCTTACCTGCTGGCTGGAGATCCTATAATAACACGGTGGATGAGAACTCCATGAGAAACATCAGGAAAGGACATGTCACGCGTCTTCAGCTCTTCGATTATACTGAAGAGGCAAAAACACCATTTAAAATAAATAAAAAAAATACTCAGTGACCATCTCACACACATTTAGGGTCTGGTATCAAAACACAGATTGGCACCTGGGGGTCAAAGTCAGCATCATTACTCCAATGTAACGCCGTTTTGATCCTGATTCTCCAAACCAGGACTCTGAAAACAGCCGATACACATCCATCAGCGACCTCGATACAAATGATGTCACTAACAAGATAAGATGCTGTGAGGTCAAGGGTCATTCTTACTCTGTTTGTCTGCTGCACGCTCAAGGAAGAGGCGGACTCTGTCTGAGGGAATAGCGAAGGAAATCCCTGCAGTCACTTTCATGGTATTAATACCGATGACCTCACCATCCTGAAGGTTACAAACATGACACGGTAGTTTGTATCACATGCATTACATCATGCTAACTTGACCAATTAGATTGATCAGGTAGACAGATTTGTACTTCTGTTATTAGTCAAATGAGCTGTAAATGAAATCTGATGTGCAAAATTAAACACCTCAACTTCCTTGTTTCTAAAGCCAAAATGTACTAGCAGTATGTTGTGTAAATGTCAGTCAGTGACTCACCAGGTTTATAAGGGGACCTCCTGAATTTCCAAACTGTAAAACAGAAATTAACTATTGAGTGATGCAATATATGAATTATTTGATCAATTAAATGAAGCAACAAACTAATATAGCTGTAATGACACAAATATAGCGATAACATGCAATTACACCCAAATTCTCCAAAGTCATTTCCTTTGCTCATACATCTATGGTAGCATCAGTCTGGATGCAGTCAATATTGGAGTTGGACAGGCCCAGTTCTCTACTTCCTCTCTGGGTGGAGCTGAGGATTCCAGATGTGATTGTGTTTTTAAGAGAAAAAGGGCTCCCCATGGCAACCACGAACTCACCCTGATGCACATCAGACGACTGGCCGAGACGCAGCGTTGGGAGGGGATGCTGGGAAGAGAACAGAATGAGTCATGCACTCACACACACACACATATATATATATATATATATATAAGCCTCTTATGTGCACCAATACAGTAAAAATAGAAATACTGTGAAATATTATTACAGTTTAAAATACCTGTTTTCTATTTTAATATATTTTAAAATGTAATTTATTGATACAAAGCTGAATTTTCAGCATCATTACTCCAGTCTTCAGTGTCACATGATCCTTCAGAAATCATTCTAATATGCTGATTTGCAGCTCAAGAAACATTTCTTATTATTATCCATGTTGAAAATAGTTTTTGCTGCTTAAAACTGTGTAAAGTATGATACAAGTTTTTTTTCAGGATTCTTTGATGAATAGAAAGTTCAAAAGAACAGCATTTATTTGAGAAATCTTTTGGAACATTGTCTTTACTGTCACTTTTGATCACTTTAATGCATCCTTGCTGAATAATTATGTGTTTCAAATTTTAAGTATATATTACCTCAAACTTCGGAACAGTAGTACATCAAAGTACCACTGGTACCTTAGCATTGATTTCGATTGTGGCGATGTCTGCAGCCTGGTCGACATCCTGGACGGTGGCATTGTAAGTCTCTCCATTGGTCAGTTTAACACGGACACCACGCTTGTTGGCGACCACATGGGCATTGGTCACTATCAGGCCATCACTACTTATGATGAAGCCAGAGCCATTCGAGATGGGCACTTCGCGACCAGAAAAAGGGTGTCTGAAAAAATAAAATAAAATAAAATAAAAAGTGTATAATATTTGTCAAAATACCCAGCACAACTGAAACTAAATACCTGTACGTCAGACACAATCAGTTCACTAAGAATGAATCTACACATGCTCACTTATTCAAAAAGTCCCTGTTGAGAAAAACAACTTAAACAAGCCTAAATAGGTTTGCTGGCCTCCAAGTCTAGTCAGGTTGGCTAGTTTAAGAAGGGTTTGGGTCATTTGTCAGAAGCTTGACCAGAATGTGAGACCCGTTTAACACTCTGGTGTTTTCCGGACATTTTAGACCAGAAAAAAATGTTTTGATATTTTAAAAAATCGCTACTTCATCGGAATGGTACGAGACTCGAAGACGTTTATGTCAGTTATTATGTGACCTCAAAAAAATAAATCTTGTCCCTGATTCGAAAAAGCTCGTAAAAAAAAGTCACACTTGTGTTGTTCACAGTCAAAAATGACCGCCATTGGAAATGAATGGGAAATACGCAAAAATACGAAAATATACAAAAAATTTTGTGTGTACGATCTACAAATCATTCACAATGCAGAAAAAATTGTGCACAGCAATGAAGGGGTGACACTCTAAAACATCAAGAGTACAAAACAGACACACACACACTATTATACAAACACAAATACACACACTCACAGACACACACACTATTATACACACACAAATGAACAGATGTGGCTGTAACAATATGGCAAAATTGAGCCAGAAGACTCAAATAAGAGATTGAAATCAGATTGATTAACCTCTGATAAAGCATTCCTGTTCATGTTACATTTTTGTTGAATTTTGATGTTAAGTGTAACAAAATGTCTTTGTGTTCAGGTTTGACTGTAGTAAAATTGATGCAAAAACTGACATTTCAAACCAACATTTAAAAAAAAAACTAAACCTTTACAAAATGTTGTCTTTGAGAATGTCTAAATATAAATCCAAGCCCACAACTTAATAAAAATAAGTATTTATGTTTAAAAACAACTAGAGAATTGATAAGCCTTTTTATATAGAGCTATATAGGAATCTAGTAGCTAAACCATGAAATTGCAGATGTTTTTCCTTTTTTACTCCCACCAGATGGCACTAATCTGCCTTCAAAAACTGGATTTTAAAGGCATTGTCTCCATTTTTACATGAAACACTGCCATAATTGAAAAATAATAGAACATATTTTTAATAGAACATATTTGGGGGGGGGGAAGAAAAAATATTATTGAACAAAAATATATTACATTGATTTCACTGAAAATAATGGTTTCAGATGTTCGGTCACTTTTGACCGCGACCAACACAAGTGTGACCCCCAAATGAACAACACCAGAGGGTTAAACCAGCTGAAACAATCATAAGCTAGTTTGAGATGTTTTCAGCAGGACTAGAACACAGTTTCATTGTATTTTGACAGACTCACCGCCCAACGACCTCGATGTAGACTACAGCCCCAGACAGCAACATAGTGTTGGCCCAAATCCGGCCCACATCTGGCCCATGTGAAATCCATGCGGGCCA